GGTATTGTTCCTAGTTTGGGAATCACATAAGAGCATGTGCCAGTTTTTGTAAAGGATGGATTCAATCTTTTTACCTGATCAGAGATTATACCACAGGTGCCTATAGTCACCCACACTGCCTCCCTTCTTAACACAAGACGTGGGAGTAATGCCCAGGGTTCCAGCGTAAGCGCCACTGCAACAAAAGTGGCCAGTCAGAAGCCCGCTCCCTCCTCCTGCGTTTTATGGGCTGGAACTCAATGCTCAACACCTGTTCCCAGCCTGGCCTCTACCTGAAAGGACGCCTGTCTTCCCAGGTCTAGGCGAAACGCTGCAACCCGATTCTCCCAAGGAGGCTGTGGCCGGGGAATCCTGGATCATGCAGCTGAGGGGGCCCCAGAAAATGCTCTTCCCCATCAGGAGGGTGGACCAGGGGGCATAAGGGAGCCTGCCTCGTCCCTCTAGAGTTCCAGGTGATCCTTTCTGTCCAAAGGAGGAAACACTTATACTGACCAGGCCGGGAGATTTGGTGACGTGTTTCCAGTTTCTGTGGGAGGAGGGGCTTCTCATGTGCTGTCCTGGAAAGATTATTTGGGAAACACTGTTTGAATGTTTCCACTTGATTTCTGTAATCTGCATCTAGAGAGAAGTTCCTCAATCTCCTTAATTGGCAGAAAAGAATATTCCGCAACGATGGTTTATAGTGGACACACACTTATTAGCAGGTAATCTATGTACCTCTTAAGAAAATATTTGCTGGATAAGACAATCTTTTCACACCAAGGATTTTCTCTCCTGCCTGAGGTATAGTTGTGACAAAATTTGCATGGTTTGGGGCAAGTTGACGGTCAGCCAGCAACTTACTGGAAGTTTCTACATTCAAGTACCTGTACCTGGCTGAACCTCCATTTGCAGACTGAGCCAAGTCCTATTTGAACTTTGTGAAAGTTTGTGGGGCGTTCCTACAAAGGAAGCAAGGGAGGGGGCAGGCAGCGTGTTTTCACTCACAGACCCTCCCCCCTGTTCACACCTCCAGGAAGGAAGGCTTTAAGCACATGGTTGCTATTCTTGATGGTTGCTGCAGCTGGGCAAAGGGATTCTGAGGACCAGCTAGAAGGTGGCAAGCTGTAGCGCACCTTTCAACATCACCCTCTCTCGATGGACTGTCTAGTACCGCTTGTGGACTTTGTGGATTACTAACCCGGTGGACAGGATATTACACACAGTGGACGGCTCACTGATTCCCCCTTCCTGGCTTTTTTTAATTGGATCTTCTCCTGCAAATGAAACAGCAGAGACACTCTGGGTTCCCGGTGTAGAACAGTTAGGGCTGGTTCACACCAAGCGCGGAGCAGATCAGAGCAGTTACAGAACAGATCAAAACTACGTGCAATGTATTCCAATGGTATTTTGGGCTCTAGTTCACACCAGAGCGTTCAGTTTCAGAGCATGTGGAAAAACTGCAGCTTGCCCTATTTTTTCTGCTCTAGAACACACCAAAACGCATGCAAACTCCCTGGAACGCAACGAAAACCCATTTTAGGCTAAAAACATGTCAAAAATATGGCAGCACACACTGCACTGCATGTGCATTAACTCATGCAGATCTGATCTGCATTTGGTGTGAACAAGCCCTTATACTCAGTCCTTGACCCAATGAACCTTTGGATGCCTTGCTGTGGCTATGAAACTTTAACACCCTGTCTGTAATGCAGTAAGTACCCACCACACATTATCTGTCCCAATCGTACCCTGACTTGTTGTTCTGGGACCTGAGCGGTTTTCCCCTCTACTGCATGGCCTGGTTTGGTTATTCTTTGTTTTGGGGCTTTTGTATGAGGATATGGGAGCTAATAATCAAGGCATTTAATAAAGAGTATTATTCTTCTATCGCACTGTGTCTGGTGTTGTCCTCTGCATCACAGAACTACTGTCACAATAGTGGCTATGATCGTTCTGACATCAAAGCTTAACAAGCCTAACCCTAACTTGCCTAAGTAAAATTGGATTTATCTGCCACCTCCCCTTTCATATATAGGATTGTCTGCAGGGGCTGTAAGTTTCTAAATATTTTATTACTTTTTATGGTGACTTTTAAATGTTTTTTGTTCGTACAAGCCAACACCCAGCAGATATGGTTAATCACGGCCATAGTTCACATCCAGGTTTGTTACTAGAACTTTAGTATTTTGTGCTATATTTTTTTTTGCCTTTTATATGGAGGATGATTTGAACACATAGCGGAAGGTCATACTATAGCATATGCTTCAACATAGGTTTATCCTCAATGTGGGTGTAACACTATCTTCCATCAAACTTAGGGAAAACCCCTAAAACTTAAGACTCCCTAGTGTGACAAGTGCATTTTATTGATCTTTTATCATTGTTCAATTTGATCAAATTTTTCTGCATATTTTTTATTATTAGATGTGTTAATGTATTTTTTGTAGCCCTGATGTAGGGGGGATTCCTGACCCCAGAATGCAATGGCTGCGCATATCTTTTTAATAAATTTTGTAATCAAAACTTTAAGTACAACAAACAGACATATCAATGAGCAGTAGATTACAGAAAGTACAGATTAGACATATCAATGAGAAGTAGTTTACAGAATGTGAAACATTTTTTCTCAAGACTGCATAAGAATAAGCAATAAGGGATAGATCCCCCAAGGCCAAAAGCGCCAAGTGAACATAGGCAACATTATGAGGGATACAAATTGAAACTAAACAAAAAAACAAATTACTTCTGACCCTCATAAGAAATGTGTTCCAAACAGAGTGGTGTGCAATAAAGGAAAGGTGTGCAAGGGGGGCACACCTTTCAAATGTGGTTTGTGTGAAAAGTGGTAATTTCAAAAGGGAAGAAAGGAAAGAAAAACAAAAAAAGGGAGGGGCTAGGCAAAGACTTACGGTAGTGCCTTTTAGACATGCCCCGAAGATGTAGCCGGTATTTAGCCGGGACACCGCTAGGAGAGCACTACCGTATTTGCCGCCGTATAAGGCGACTGGGCGTATAAGACTACCCCCTACTTTTTGTGTAAAATATAGGTTTTGGGCTATACTCGTCGTACAAGACGAGAATAGCCCAAAATAATGTTTAAATGCACCCACTAACCTCCTTGGCGGTATTCCCGAGTGTGGCTCGGGTTTAATTTTCAGTACCATAAGCGGTAACCCCGAGCCACACTCGGGATTAGTCTCTTACCTTGTCCACGATCCCCGCAGTGTCCTCCATCATCCAGGTTCCGGCCAACAGCTACATACAGTAAACCACGCTGAGCCTATCACGGCAGGCTTCGTATTCATTAATACAGGCTTTAATGATTGGCTCAGCGCGGTATACTGTATGTAGCCGAAGCTACATACAGTATACCCGGCGTATAAGACGACCCCCGATTTTCAGGCGATGTTTTTGGGTCTAAAAACCCATCTTATACGCCGGCAAATACGGTATGTCCCACTTCTTGAAATGTATTGGCTATGGAAGCCTTGTGGGCAAAGTAAATGATATGGTCTCTCTGGTCTTCTGACCAACTTACGCCCAGATCTTTCTCCAATTTGAGTGATAAAATGTGAAACATAGGTCTGGGGTGGCTGAATAAGAATAGAGTAACTCTGGGAGAGTGTGTGACGGATTGTTCCTATATATTTTCAGGGGGCAAGAGGAAGGAGGTGCCCTTTTTTCAAAACTCTGAAGAGAATGTACACCTAAATGAAAATATTAGCTTCAATATAAAACTTACTGGCTCTTCCACTTCTCCAGTAGCGTGCTGAGCTTCAGCCTGCAAGTCAATAGGTGGGGCATCTTCCACAATTCTCTGCACAGACATCTGAATGAACTCATCAAAAGAATCAAGCTGCTGACGCACCAAGCCTTTCTCATCAAAGTAAGAACTGGAAAACAAAAAATTTAGTTTGTGGATGTTATTAGAGTATCAAAATGTAAAAAAAAATCCCTGTTAGAGACTTACTGGTAACGGTATTTCTGGGAATCTTCCAGCACAGCAACATGAGATGATTGGTTCATCCCTCTACAGGCAACACAATTTAAAATCCCCCTCCTCCCTCAGTTGAGATTAAAATTAGACTACCTCCACCACACTGGGAAACAAAGAGAAAACAAACACAATGAAAACAACCAAAAGAAAACAGGTGGGAAGTAGGCTTGCTGTCCTAGAAAATTCCCAGAAACACAGTTACAGGTAAGTCTATTCCCCAATCATCTTCCAGAACAAGCCTACCTCTGGGTGGGACCATTATCTTCAGAACTTGCTAATAAATTATTTTTGCAAGAAAACCTTCACTTAACTAGACAGACGAAGGTAACCTGACTAGATCCAAAAGGATTAAGATTTGCTCCACTAAGGCTCCCGCATTTCCTTTCATGATTTCCCAAATTTTAAATTAGTGCACAGAAACAGAATATAATACAGCCAGTCCCCTGTTTACATACAAGATAGGGACTGTAGGTTTGTTCTTAAGTTGAATTTGTATGCAAGTCGGAACAGGTAAATTTTTTAAGAAGTGTAACTCCAGCCAAAAGAAAAAAACTTTAGTTTTGGATAGCATAGGGAAGGGTCACGTTTGTTTTGCTGTCTGTTCCCCTTGTTCAGAAGATAATAGAAGCGGACGGACGGACGCAGCGGGGGAAGAGGAGGTGGGGCAACTGGTGACAAGTAACTCTTAAGGCCTGGCTAGTAGCTCAGGACTTGGAATTTTGCAATATGTACATATACAACAGCGCAGTCCAACTGGCCGGAACAGCAAAGATTATCTGGGGATTTCCCCCATGTAGTTAGAAGAGTCGTTGCCCTGTGGAGCAGAACCCACCCAGGTGAAACTGATTAAATCTATTGGAAACCTCACCCAAGCAGTGAAAGGAAAACTGGTCAACTTAAAGAACTATAGAAGACTCCCTTAATATCTGTAAAGGCAGCACCAGCTTCTGCTATAGTATAGCTGTCTCTATATTCAGCATTTTATATCTTGAGTCGTCTTATCCCGATGGGATAAAGTTATAGCATATCCGCTTTTTTGTTTCATCAGCGTATGCCGAATACATAGAGCCTTATCAGGTTTAACCCTAGTGGCAAAGCAAGGCTCTTGCGATATAAGGGCAAACTATAACAGAGCAACCCAATTGTCAGGAATCGCCCCAGATTGGGGATTTGCACCAATGCAGACAGCAAGGTCATTCACCTGTGGAGCACCCGCACCCAGGTGAATTGAAAAAGAAAACTCACCCTAGAAACCCAACAAGTCATCAGTCAATTCCTCTAGATTCTAGAAGGACACTCTGAGGGACTCAACTAGAGTCACTATGCCAGCGAGGATAGTTGCCATCTCCTTCAATTATAGAGGGAAACCTCTGGGCAAACAGTTTTTATAAGGACTCTGGGGGAAACAGTCCTGGGTACCTGTGCATGAGGCTCTCCAGGTCCACTGTCCCTGTGAGCGAGAGCCGCATGGCACAGGAGGCCCCTTCTATCTAGCACGAAGGCCTGGAGTAAAATAAACGTTACAATGCGCCTGTTCAGCCAGAGGAAAATACTGATGCGTTTCCCGTTTCATGTGGTCGGAACCCTTCTCTCAGATGCTGCGCTGGCGGAGGTCTTGGGAAAAACGAGTCTCACTCTCTCTGTCTCTCCCGTCCGTGGCCATTCCTGAACTGCCGGACGGTAGACTTAGACGTCCTGCCCCTCCCCCGCTCGTGTGTTTACATTAAAGTGATCGGGCATCTCTGAAGACGCCCAATCGCTTGTAGTAGCTGCGGGTGTGCGCCCCCACCGTACCGCTGTCACCGCTCCCGAGATTCGCTTTGCACGGTGCGCCCGGGACTGGCGCGGCAACTCAATTACTGGAGATCAAAGGGAGATCAGTACACTGCATCATCAGCTTCTCTGGGGCTCCCAAGGTGACATCATGGGTTTGGAGACCCCTGATGTCTCCATAAAGAGGACGTGTTATTTGAATTGACTATCACATAGGGGATTTCTTAGCCCCCCTATGTGATAGCAATAAAGTTGAACATAAAAAAATAAAGAAGCTTAAAAAAAAAAAATTTAAAAAAAAAGGGACCAAAAAAAAACAAAACAAAAAAAAAGACGCAAACATGCGTCAGGTGCGCCTATGTGCAAAAAAACATACTATTGCGCCCATTACACAGCGAACGTCGGAGTGAGAGCAATAATTTTAGGCCCACTAATTACTGATAACACTAAACTGATGAGCAGTAAAAGCGTTGCCTATGGCCAATTTTGGGTATGGTCGTTTTCTCCTATTTCGCTGGCAATTTTACAGCTTGACATGTTTGGTGTCTATTTACCCGACATGACCCAGTCTTATATTTTACCAAAAAATTGCGGCGATAAAGGTTTCATAACATTTCATAGGTAAACTGTTTTTTTTTCAAAAATTTAGGGTACTTTTTTGTTATATAGTAAAAAATAGAAAAACCCCAGTGGTGATTAAATACAACAAAAAGAAAGCTCTATCTGTCCCCAAAAAATTCATTTCAGTACAGCGTTGCATGACGGAATAAACGTCAAAAGTACCACAGCACTGAAAAATGGCCTGGGCAGGAAAGGGATTTAACACCCTGGTCTTCAAGTGGTTAAAGGAGAACTATGAGGCGAGTGAAAATCACTCAGCCTCATAGTTCTAGCCGACCGGCGACAATTAAACTGTCACACGTCTTCTCAATAGATCTGGAAGTGAGCGAACATATACCGTCGCTCGCTCACTCCTCGATCTATCCCTGCAGAGAGCCGTGACTGTCACTCACAGATTCCTGCAGGGATTCCCCCCCTCCCCGGTTCCATCCTCCAGCGCTGACTGGCAGAAATTAGTTTGTGTCCTCCTATTACCCTTAGGAGAACTATGGGGAAAAGCCCTGACCCCATAGTTCTCCTTTAAAGAAAATACACTGGCTAAAATCTCAGTTTCTGGAGTGCTGAACCTTAGTACACACAGCTCTCAGTGGTTTCCCACCAGCTCTATCCTTCAGTACTGTGTCCTCCACTAATGGGGGAAAAGGTAGAGGGTCAAAAAGAGGAAACAATAAGCAGAGGAGAACGATAATTTAGTTTCCCTCACATAATCGTCAACTAACCAAAAAGGAGAGAGAGAAAAAAGGGCCCTCTAATAAAATACTGGGTTTGCTTCCTACATCGTTAATGTAAATGACCTTAAAGTTAAAAAAAATGTCCCTCCCCCCATGTTAATGTCAGCACTTACCTTAAATGATGTCTCTTAATCCGATCTTCCTCTTCTTTCCCCATGTTTTCATCTGTCCCTCCAGCGGTGTGATGTCACTCCGATCCAGCGCTGACTGCTCTGTCCCTCCGATCCAGCGGTGTCTGCATGCGGGTGCACGTGTCCATAGACTTACCTTGCGCCGCCGCTAGTCTCCCGGCCGAGAAACCGAACTGCGCATGCGCCCGCCCCAAGATCCTTTGCGGCCGCACGAGCAGTTCCTGATTAACTGCGCGAGAGCAAGCAGCAATAACGAGGTAAGTTTAAATCGCTTTAGGCTTTAGAACCCCTTTAAATGGAGATGGAGCACCTCTTCTGAGTAGCAATAACCCATTGCAACCAATTAGTATTCAATCTAGCTAAAATAAGTTACTTAAACGAATCAACCTTCTTCACTTTCTGACTCAAACTTTTGAATCAAAAAAAAAAAAAAAAAAAAAAAAAATTTCTATAGAAAAAAAATGTCATTATGGGTGACAGAAAAACAGTACATACACAGCATTCTAAATGTTACAGTAAAACTAATAGTCACTAACCTTATGACAATCCAACATGCTTCCTGCCACAGATCTGGAGTTATTTCGTCATCATCCTCATCATATTGCATATCTAGCAAATCAAAATAAAATACATTTTAAAAGACTTCAGCAATCAAACACAGAATACTACTTGCCAATGCGTCGTTAATACGGCTCTGCGTCCTTACCTTCGTCCGCATCATACATGTTTGCAAATCTCACGGCTTCTTCAACCACACAAAAAAGAAACTACACCAATTCCCCCACACTACACTTCCAGCGAGACTCTTAACATCCCAGAAATCAGCCGCACATTTCCTCTTCCGGGTTAAGTGGATTTTCTTAGAAGGGGCGGAGTTACGGTGCTGTGTATGATTTTTAGTGTGATTTACTAAAGCTAAACATGTTGGAATTCTGAATTATTTTAGAGTTCACCTTTTGGGGATGTATATGGCTCTTTTGAAATAAATCAGTTACTGCTGGGTGCGTCAAGTAAATGATTTGGATGTCCGTTATTTTTACAGCGCCATCTATTGGTATCTATTGCCATCTATTGGTAAATATGCTTTATTTTAAAGTGACACTAATCTTAAACATGCATGCAAGTACCTTAAAAGCAAGGTGACCAGATCTCCGTATGTGATAGCAATAAAGTTTAGTGGGAAAAAAAAAGGGAAAAAAATTAAAGTCCCCCCCCAAAAAATTTTTAAGTTACACATAAAAAAGAATTTATAAAAAAATGTAAAAGTCCCCACCCATACATACACACATACAAACATGCGTTGGGGGCGCATACGTGCAAAAAAGACGATTGCGCCCATTACGCCACACATGTTACATATCGCCACGAACGTCGGAGTGAGAGCCATCAGTCTAGGGCCATCAATCGCTGATAACACTAAACTGATGAGCGGTAAAAGCTTTTAAAGCGTCGCCTATGGCCAATTTTGGGTATGGTAGTTTTCTGCGATGTCGCAGGTGCGT